CAGCCCATGACTCGCTCCTACTCGCGGTGTGATCTCAGGAGAAGAATTCCCCGAGAGAATCACCAGTGGCCAAGCCGAGGAGTGTGAGCGTGTCTGGGCCTAGTGTGAGTTGGTTAAGCTCGGGTAGAGTGGTTAAGTCCTGTGACCATTTCGTGTTGGGCCGAATGAGAATCTTGTAGGCGCGTCTTGAGAGACTGGACAAGTTATGCTGCCGTAGACGACATAATTTGAGATGTCCCTGTTTTAGGGAGAGGCTCCGCGGAGATTTGGGAGGCTACCGGGAAGGACGACACCTCAGGGCTCGGCTGAGAGCAAACAGCCAAAGGTTGAGTCGCCACCAAGTTCGCCGAAGAATAAGGCGCCCAAGGTTGTGATATTCGAGGGAAGCAGTGGAGAGGTGAAACCGAAAGTCGATGAACCAAAGAGGGTTGCTGAGGATAAGCCTCAGGAGCAAACAGTAGTAGTGGGCTTAGATATTTCACTCAAGTGGTCGGAAGTTTCGTAATATTATCAGGGAACAACCGAGAGCAGCCCGTTTGGTCGAAGCACGCTTGCCCGAAGTTCACTTAGGTCCTCCTTCAGGGTAGGCAGGCTCCATCGCCTCATCACGCATGTTGGCTAGGTGACTATGCAGTATCGCTCTGGTGTTGTTCTCCTCAGCGACCAGGATTAAGAGGTCTTAAGGATCTGGCAAAGGAACAGAAGGAGCTAGAGAAGGAAGGAGATGGACTCCTTCACTAGCTAGCGTCATCGGAACGATATCGGGTTGATGATAACAGTGTATAGCCGTTCTCCTTGTGCATACTACACTACTGTTCATGTTGATGTTACTGATGTTGCTGGACTCCAAACTGGTTGTGTTCTTCATACGTTGCTAGCGATGGAGCGCTAGTGTTCGTGGGAACCGCCTTCTGTTATTTGGCTAGCAATACTGTCTAATTGCTTTAAATCATATATTGTCAAGTACATCCAACCTTACTTGATGTTATCGATGTGAAAATGAACCACTGGTCGCAAACAAAATTTTCAAAATCATTTGCACCTCTAGTATCAGCTCATTGATGGTTCATTGATGATGATATCTTGATGCCCGCTTATCATTCTCTTGATCGTATTGGTTGTCATTTTCAGAAGTTGTGGATGCGATTGAGGTAGGTTCTTTCTGCTGTTCTTCATGCTTCTTCCTGGTCTTTTTCATGAAGGTCCTCCATTGTTTGTTCGTTGTTTCACTCGTTTGTTGACCTAGTAGCCCTTCATTGAAGGGCTAGGTCAACAAACGAGTGAGCGGTTCGTGTAGTGGTCGATTAGAATTCAGTTACCATTTAGTTAATGGGGACTTTCCTAAACCCGCCCACCCGCATCTTGTTGGTTTGGCAGGCATCAACAGTCAAGTGAGAGTCATCAGCTAGAGTCTCTGGCCCAGAAAGCACCGAGTTGACTCTCTGAGGCAGAGAAGTACGTAATCTCGCTGCTACCGATGCGGAGCGAAGTATCCACCGTTGAAAATTTCGGAAAGTTTCTCGACAGAATTTAGAAGTTGAAACTTTCGAATCTCACAAATTCTGTAGATCTAACAAAAAGACTATGTTGCCCCGTAGCACGATTGCTGTTCAACTCAACTCAATCACAACAAGTTTGGCAAATTCATTCAAGAGAATGGTGGTAGACAAGACGAAGACGAGTCAAACAGACAACTTAGCACTTGGTGATAGTGGTGTCAAGGAGGAAACCGATCTTGATATGAACGGAATCGGGACTGATGATGGTGGCATCAATTTTCTTGATGTGGAACTGTTGCATCAATTTGGCAAGCATAGGATCGTAGTTAGAGAACTCGATATCATCACCATCAACGGTGTAATCAGCGCCAGCAGACATACCCATCACATTGATGGTAGCGCGGCCATTAGAGGCAAAGTCAACAGTGAAACTCTGGCCCATCATGCTACCGCAGTAATGACCACCGAATGCAGGAGAAGCAGCAGTAGTAGTGGTCGCTTTAGTGGTCGTCGTAGTCGTAGTGGTTGCTCTAGTTGTGGTAGTAGTCGTAGTGGTGGCTTTAGGAGTGGTGGCAGTAGTCGTAGTGGTCGCTCTAGTTGTGGTAGCAGTAGTCGTAGTTGGCACTCTAGTTGTGGTAGCAGTAGTCGTAGTGGTAGGACCGACGTGTTAGTGGTGGTCTCCACAGGGGTGGTTGTCACGGCCTGAGCGGTAGTCGTTGGAGCAGCCGTGGTATAACCTCAGTAGCGGTAGTCGCATAGAAGCACTAGTAGTAGACGCTGACTTGGTTGCGGAACGCTGTGTGAGAGAGATCAGTGGGCTCAGCGGTGGTCACATGACC